TTTTTTTTTTTTTTTTTTTTTTTTTTTTTTTTTTTTTAAGGTTAAGCGTAGAGTTTAGAATTTAAAATTTAGGATTTAACACATGATAATGTTCAATGATAATAATTTTTTTTAAATATATTTAAATATCTTATTGATTAATGGTAATATTTTTTTTCATATATATACACTTGCATTTCATTTTTATAACATATGTTTATTTTGTAGATTATATATACATTTTGAACACTTGTTAACTTTGACATCATAACCTTTTTTTGTAGGTACAACTACTAATATGAAAATCAAGGACTACAAATTGAGATCGACGACTTCAAAAGATTATACATTTGTAGATTATATATATACTTTTTCTAGCATGTACATTTGGCACCTATCATGGGGTCATAAAAAATGTATTCCTACTGTCTCTATTGACAAGCAGATGGCAATAACAAGTGGTTCACTAAACAGGAACTAAGAGACACTTGATAACACTCGCATGTTGGCAGAATTGTATTAAGAGCTGCAATTTGGTGTGAGCAAATGGAATAATAAAAGAAACGACATGGGGAGGGAAATGATGCTTCTTTGTCAACAAAACTCTAAAATGTTACAATTGATTGAACAATCATAAAACAACACCAAGATAATAATTGGGGGTAACGATCCGAATTGGCTACCAGGCTCACTCGACTACTCGGGTGACTCTAGTTTTCTTTCAAGTATATGTCTGACCAAAGTGTCAGTCTCTCAAGAGATTTGAATCATCCAAGTGTCTTGATAGGTTGGGACATCGACACTTCACTTTACTGTCATTCTTGAGAAAATTCACAAGTATCCTTTCATTGGTGATATCATGGAGGTACCCCTTCCCAAAGGGGTGGAAGGACATGGGTTTGGACAAGTATGATGGGACTACTGACCATAATGACCACGGTAACTTGTATGTTTCTCAAGTTAGCATGCTCACTAGCATCAACGCAGTAATGTGTCACTTATTCTCTACTTCTCTAAAGAGGGTGACTCTAAGATGGTTTACTCCCCTTTCATCCCACTCGGTTAAATCCTTTAGGTGATGGTCTTCTAATTTATTATGCAATTTGGTTCTAGTTGGCCGCATGCAATGATGTTAGTCGCCTTTATTAGTGTCAAGTAAGGTAAGGATGAATCCCTTTGGGCCTTCATGGACATGTTTGAGAAAGAAACCTTTGAGATTCCCAACTTAGGAGAGGAGCTTGCGTTCCACTAAATGTTATCAACCTTGAGGTTAGGTTCTTTTTTGGATAACCTTTGCAAAAATTCGACCCTTTATATGGAAGAGCTTCATCATAGAATGGAGAAATACATGTAAATGGAAGAGCTTACTGAGTTCCAAGAATAATCTAGTGAAGAACAAGGCAAGGAAAAGGCAGAATCCAAGGGGGAGAAGAGAGAAAGAGATCGATCCAAAAGATCGAGAGAGCACAAGCCACCAAGGTACTCTCAATACATATCTTTGAATGACAATCATTCAAGGATCCTAGACAAAGCATTATGTAGTGACTTGATACCTCTAGTCATGTCGATCCCTACACCTTAGAAAGCTGATCACACTAAGCATTATTAATATTATTACAATTTTGGTCATACAATCAAAGAGTATGCTGCCTTGAAGGATAAAATTGAACTATTGATACAGGATGGACATTTGCGTAAAGTTGTGCAAAAGGTTGAGGCTAGATTGCATGACCGAGGTCAAAGGTACAAGCATCAAGAAAGGTAGTGCAAGAAAGAGGATCATTCTCAAATAAGCACTAGGCTAGCTTCTCAACAAGAGTACCGCCCCAGCTCTCAATTGTGCAGGGTGATAAATACCATTGTTGTAGGATTTGTTGGTGAGGGTTTCAACCATTTTTGTAAGAAAGCGACATTTTCACACTATTAAGGTACTAAACGTTGTTGCTTAACAATCCTCGCAAAAGGTGTTGTTGATTACTTTCATTGATGAGGACTTCAAAGGTTTGGATCCTTATCAAGATGACCTTATAGTGATTATTGTGGAAATGGAAAACTTCACAGTAATGAAGACGTTGGTGGATCAAGGTAGTTTAACCGATATATTGTACATGTCTACCCTTCAACAATTGCAAATTCTCGAGTCCAGTATCAAGCCTTATAATGATCAACTAGTCAAATTTTCAAGAGAAAGGATAGACACAACTACACAAGAGAGTACATCAATTTGCTAACTACCTTTAATGATGGTGACAAAAGGAGGTAGATGATTAGCATAGGTAATATATTGGTCAATGACAATATTTCTTATAATGCTTTACTATAACTCCTTTCTCTCAATGAGTTAAGGGTTATAATTTTCATGCCTCACCTGGCTATGAAATTCCTTTTTTCCACAAGAAAGATAATACAATTCATGCTAATCAAAAGACAACACGAGAGTGTTATGCAACCAGTTTTAAGATAACTCCCTTGGTAAGTCAAATTGAGGCTAAACACTTATCCACCTAGGTTGACATACACACCTCCTTAACCAGGGAAAAACAAGTACACTTGGTGGAGTTGGATCCAAGGGTTAATGATGAAGCTCAAATGGAGCCGACATAAAAGATTGAGAAATTTCAATTGGAAAAAGCGGAGGGACAATGTACTAACATTGGTAAATAAATAGAGTTAGGAGATAGGACTTTATTGCTTAAGACTTTGGAAGAAAATGTTGACTTGTTCGCATGGTTGACATCTAACATGCCAAGCATTGATCCATCATTTCATTATCACCATTTGTCCATTCGTCAAGAAGCCTGACCAGTAGCCTAGAGGAAAAGGAAGATGGACAAAGTAAGGAGAGTAGTTATAAAGGCTGAAGTGTCTAAATTGTTGGAGGTTAGATTCACCCAGGAGGTATGATATACGATTTAACTTACCAATGTAGTCTTATTTAAAAACAGTAATGATAAGTGAAAAGTGTGTGTGAATTACACGAATTTCAACAAAACTTGTCCCAAAGATACTTATCTCTTTTGAAGTATTGATATATTGGTAGACGAGAGCACCACATTCTAAATATTTATACATGTTATTATAACTCTCATTATTAGGTCTATTCTACTGCTTACAATTTAAAATAAACAATATAAATATATAAATGATATCATGTTAAATAATGAAATTAGTATCATTGTTAAGTAAAAACAAATTATATTATTTGTACATAATTGTTAAATAAATTATAATTTTTAAAAGAATATATGACATTAGATTTGATTAGAATAACAGTATATTTTAAATTTGTTTCCAAGATGTATCGGGTTTAAGTTTTTAAATCTAAATTCATTATAAAAGAAACTTTTGGAGCACATCACAGGACGAATTATGAACCCTCTTGAAACTTGATCAGTTTGGTTGTTTGAGGGAATGCTATTTTGGGTCGGGTAAAGGGAGAGAACATCAGCCCAAAAGCAAATAAAAAAAAAAGCCTCCTCATAGGTACTACTGGGCTATGAGGTTCAGGAAAGCCCAGCAAGGACATAGAAATAGAAACATAACCCAATCCAATTTAATTACCACTACTGATTCGTTAATCTATCACTCACGTGATTATTTTTAATACACACTACTAATTCTAATTTTTATAAAATAGTGTTTTAATATTAATATCATTAATAATATTTTAATTTAAACTCAAACCCTAATTTTATTTATGTTTATGGGTTTTCTCCAAAATTAACTAAATAAAACATGAAATATTAAATTCATCAATAATTACAAATAAAAATAATATAAAATTATTAAAAATGTAAATTCTAAGTTTTTTTAGCGATAGGGAAAAACTTGAAGAAGAGAATATCACAATTCTCGAATCTCGCTTGTCAAAATAATTTCAACTTCAAAATTACGTACCTCAAAATATTTGTGAATATCTTTCTTTAACTTTTTTCTTTTGAGATATTATGAGACACACAAGATAGTTGTTTTAATTTTTTTTTTTTTTTATATGTAGAAGATGTAGTAAAAATATAAATAAAATGTTAATTAATTTTCCTTATACGATTCGAAGAAGTTAAGCGAAATCGAAAACGAAAAGTATCTTTATCGTTTATCCAAAAGAAAAGTGGGAGCCACAATGACAAGTAGCGGCAACTTCACGCCGCACCATTACTGCAAAGAAAAAACAAAGAGATAACTGAGTTAGTGGATTCAATCATTATGATTTACATCACATCACTACCTAAATTATGAAATCTATCAATTTTATTTAGCCTAATACTAACATTATAACTAAATTCCTCTGCATGCCAGCACAATTAACATTATAATAATTAATTATATCCTCTGAAAATATTAAAAAAGTAAAATGTCATTTGTAGCAAATAAATAAATATAAAATCACACCATTTAAAAAAAAAAAAACTTAAATTAGGGAATGTTCTCACGTTCTATTGCTATTCTTATGTAAATAGCTTTTAATTTAAAATTCTCTTCTATCTTATTTAAAACAATAAACACAAGAACTATTATAAATTTATTTTTAATAAAAAACGATGATAGTCCCATTGGAGGGACACAAATATACTACTATTTTTTTTTAATTAGTAAAAAATACTACAATAACAAATATTTATTTCAACTTTCACCATCATAAATTATATTCATTAACTAATAAATTTTTTATGTAGATTTTTTAATTTGTCAAAATATCAATAGTAACACAAAGTTCAAACATAATATACATACTATCCCAACTTTCACCACTAATTTAATTGGGATAATTCTAAAATTGTTATATTTTAATTAGTAATTTCAAGTTTGTTTTAAATAATTATATTATTGACATCAAGTATCTATTAATTTTGCTGGTGACTAATTTTTATCAAAAAAAATTTCAAAAATCATATTTAATAAAGTTGAGATCATATTTAAGAAAATCATATTCAATATCAATTAGATTAACGACTTGTGAATTAGTAATATAAAATTTGACTCTTAATTTGCAACTAGGTGAATATTCCAAGGGTTTTACCATGATGATCTTGGCAAGATTGTGTTTCTTGTAAAAGATTGAGATTCAATGAATGACTTGACATGAAATGGTGACAAAAATGTTATTTAACTATTAAACATGGAGACTTAGTAAGGAGAATTATAAGCCGTGGTGATAGGAAAAACAATAAATAAAAAAGAAGTGGGACAAATATCTGAAAATAAAAATGATAGGACAGGACTGAAGGGGAATCAAATTGAAGATGAGTTGCTTTGAAGCGCACATTAGAAAAAAGGAAGGGCAGTGGATTGTCAAGTAAGCATATGCATATGATATTTTGTTTGGCTACAATACATTCCCTTTGTGTTTGTACCTCTCCATGTTTTCCACTTTCTTTATCTACCGAATTTCCTCATAACTTAATTCTCCATCACCATGGCTGAAGAACCTCACTCTCACACCTTAGGCCCCATGACAAGCCATCATGATCATCCCCATGACCATGACCAAGTTGGTGGCTTCGATTGGATGGTCCTTGTGGCAGCCATTTTGTGTGCCTTTGTGTGTGCCCTTGGCCTCAACACTATGCTACAATGTGTCTTCCAATGTGCCACTCGTGTCCTCACACAGCCTCGCCAATGGATCGCTTCTCGAAGGCTCAATTCTGGCCTCAAGAAGAAGGAAATGGTGGCTTTGCCAACCTCAACCTATGCTCACTCTTCCTCTCCATCTTCACCTTCCAATTGTGTCATTTGCTTAGCTGACTTCTCTGATGGGGACCCCATAAGGTTCCTACCAAAGTGCAACCACTATTTTCATGTCATTTGCATTGACAAGTGGCTCCTCTCTCACTCTTCTTGCCCTACTTGCAGGCACCTACTCAACTCATCAAATGACCATTCTCTTCACTCCTTACATATTGTCATACCTTAGTTCTCTCAACTTTCAACTACATCAATTCTAGGTCTTGTATATGTAAAGCTACAATGTATAACATCTTTCTGTTTAAAGTGTGTTTGTTTTATAGTCGACAAATTTCAAACGTACGTTGAAAGATTCATGGATTAAGTTAAATGAACTTTGAAAAATGTGTTGACATTAAAACAAACACACACTTATGTATCAATCTAGCTATTCCTCCTTTAAATTTTCTCAATTTCAGGTCTATGTACTTTGAGTCAGATTTCAATTAGAGTAGTACAAGAATTGAATCTTGTCTGTGTATCATCATAGTACCCTCATTATAATGCTATATGCTAAAACCTACGCTATTGCATACATTATAATTTATAACTATCACATTAAAGAATTTTCTCTAGTTTTTCTGATTTCCGGTTCTGAAAAAATATTCTTAAGCAAAAGTTTCATTTGTTGAAGGTGGAAAAACTTCAACGTGGGCCAGCTTATCATCCGTGCCTTTAAACCTGATATGTAACGTTAATTAATTACTTGGGTCGTATATAAACTATATATTAACTATTAACAAGATTCGACACCAACCCTATTTTGAATGGGCTTTCAAAGCCCTCCTTAATACAAAAAAAAGAAAAAAAAACCTATTTTGAATATTTTTCTTTCTATTCCTTATAGGGTGCCTGTATTTGCAAATAAAAGACAACTAACCTTTTCAATCTCTGATGTTATTATAAATAATAAAATTCAGTTGGAGATTCGTATATCATTTTCACTTTGACTAACTAGTATTAAGTAACCTTAATTTTAATAATATGAAACTTTACAATAATCTATGCAATGTTTTAGTTTATTGATCAGGCCAGATTATAATTATAAACTTTCACGAAATCAACTCATATTTTCTTAATTAAGGTATTTTTTTTTAAAATATGATCTAAATCTAATATATTAACACAAATCCACAACACTAGAATTCTCCATTATTAATTACACGGTAATTAGAAAGCATATTGTATATTCAATTCAAAGTGCTTACTATGGAAGAAAATGAAGTACGCTTTGCCTATATGCTAATGAACTCATTAACGCATTTAATCCATTTTTGAATCGTACCAGAAAAAAATTTCCAAAAGATGGCAGGTATAAAAGAATCAAAGATAATGTATCTTGGCATCTTTTATATATATATATATATATATGAATGATTTATTTATTCTATTAGTAAGTCTACCTAAATTTATTTTATTTAATAACTCATGCTTTATATCAAATCTTGACAATCTAACAGTTTAATTTAAAGTTCTTAATACACATATTAAATATGTAAATTTTTAAAAATTTTAAATATTATTTAATACTTTATTTCATTAATTTAAATTTTATATATATATATATATAT